GATTATAAGCACTGCCCCACATTGTCAATTCAAGAGATTTTGAAGATTTCAACTTTTGGTAAGTGGAGGGATAGGATAGACCAATACCTATTGATTGTCGGTGTAAATTTAGTCTCTAAACATTCGCGTTTTATCTTTTTACGGATGAAATTGGATTATAATAACAAATTCAAGTTGCAAAATAATAATAATAATAATAATAAATAAGGGTCAAATAGGTAAATGATGTATAACAGAGACAAATGCAGACCTAAACACAAAAATGACCGGACATCGAGCAAAGAAGAAAAGGAAGAGTCTGCAAAACCCTAAAAGAGTATATAAATTCTTTTCAATATGATTTTTAAAGTTTAAGAACAAAATAGACACAAAAAGTTACAAACTAAACTCGTAATTAAACCTAATAATAATAACAATAATAGTTTAACTAATCAACCAAATCTAATATTGTAATTAGATATTTGATTATATAAGTGTTGCACTTTAATTAAAGAGGGACATTAGTCCTAAATTATTTTAGTCTTAATAAATTAGCTAATGGGGGGCCAGAAAAAACACATTTTTTGTGAAGAGAAAAAAAATGTTGCTTTCATAAGCATGAATAATTATTATTAAAATAAAAACTTTTCTAATGTTGAAAGCTCAATATATTTATTATTATACCTCAACACTTTAACTATATGAGGGCGGTTAAAAAAATTCAAATGGAATTTTGAATTTTCAAAATAATAATAATAGAAAAATAAAGGGTTTTTATTATTATTATTTTTTTATAAGAAATACCTTCTACATTAAAAAGAACAAAAACATCTTAAAATAACTCATATTTGTTTGTAAGGACCGTCCCAAAAAAATGGTAGGCCAAAAGATAAAGTCAAATCCCGAAACTTTGAATATAGGTTAGAGTGGATGAATGGGACATTGGTGCATGGACCCACCACCCACGTGTCAAAATGACAATATTACCCTTTGATCAACATCGACTTTTTCCTCGAATTATTTATTTTTAAATTTTAAAGCTAAGAAATGAAGAGGGAATGGAAAATGAACTTCCTCTAACAAGTTTCAATTCTCAAGAAGGCAACGTTTTCCATTCATTTGGATTATATTATTTTAACAAATATCTTATTGTTTGCACAATAATGTTAAATATAGCTTTGCACGATAAGATAATGTATCAAATGACATCAAAAACAAAGACAAAAGCATGAAACTGTGGGCTAACCTTCTTTTAAGATTCTCTGAGTTCTAAGAAGCCAAGAACTTCTTGAACCATTGAACTGAGTCCTTGGGGTATCTCTTCAGCTTGTCCTTGTAATCAACATAGTAAAGGCCAAACCTTGAAGTGAAACCAGCAGACCACTCCCAATTATCCAACAGAGACCAAGCAAAGTACCCTTTCACATTGCACCCATCTTCCCTACAGCCCACACAACCAGATTTTGCATCTCAGAAAACCACACAACTAAAATTGCCATTGACATTTGACACTGATGAACAAGAACATGAAGAACTCACTTCATGGCAGCTAGAAGGTTTGTTAAGTAGCCATTGTGGTATCTGATCCTTTTCTCATCCTTTAATGCTTCTTTGATCGGTTTAGATCGGTCGTTTGGATCGTCCATCCCTGTTATAATCCCGACAAGAGTAAGTTTAGATCTTTACTTTTTGGCGAAAGTTCTGTGTTTCGAGCTGTGTTTTACCATTTTCAGTGATGATCACTAGTGGATTTCCATAGTGATTCTTGATGTAATTCATCAAACTTCGCATCCCACTAGGAACTATGTATAACCATATAGAATTTGCCTGAAAGTTCATAAACAAAAAAATTGAGTTACTTGTGTTTTTGTCTTCTGATTTTGTCAAAGATTAGAACAGCAGCACCCTACCCTTTCTGCAATGGTTTTCAGCCCTTTGAATGCTGCATAAACAAGAACAGCACCAATGGAGAGAATTTAAGAAGGGCAAACTTCAAATTTGATTCAGATATGTCTAAATTATTCAAAAGAGGTGGTGTTTATAGAGTAAGGATTCTTACGAACTGTGAAGGCACCAGAATCAGCAATGCTGTCATTCAGAACGACACCAATAATGTTTGAGCTGTTGTGATAAGCGTAAAATGTGGTGTAGTGATTTATGCCAACGAAATCCAGAGATCCTTTCACTAAAGCCGACTCCGACGCGGAAAACGTCGGTAGCCGCCCTCCAACTCTGCTTCTCATGGAGCTTGGATATTCACCAAATATCAACGGATTGAGAAACCTGAAAGTGAATGAACTTAAATCACAACATGATCTCCAATTTGGTGAAACTGAAAACAGATTGTTTAAAGAAATCACCATCCGAGCTGAAAATCTTGAGCTCTTTGGGTTGCTTGAATGTCATCGGTGGAATTCGTACCTGGTACGAACCAGATAACATCAAGCGAGATCCCAATCACTCCTCCCTGACTTTTCTGCAAAAATCCCCAAATCTCACACCATTTATCATAATATTCCACAATCTCAAACGAAATCAAACCACAAACAGACAGAATACCATCTAACCGATACGAATTTCAATAAAAACCTCATTCGGGATTCTTACCTGGTACTTTCTCCTGTAAATATCGGAGACAGCGGCGTGCGATAGGAGAAGATTGTGCGCAACAATGTAAGGCTCGGTTGCAGAGTTGCCATTCCGACACTTAAGATGGAGAAGGATGGAGCAGCGGCCCGGCGCATGAAGGCCGATGTCGTAGCCCTGTGTAGCGAAGGTATGCGGTTCATTGAACGTAATCCAATTCTTCACTCGATCGCCAAACTTCTGAAAGCACGTCTCGGCGAAAACCGCGAAATCTTGTCTGCAAATTTGAAAGGCGGGAATTGAAAATGGAGGAACGAGGAATTAGGGTTAGGGTTTACGGAATTACATGATTTGGGGGCTGAGCCATCCAGTATATCTGTCTTCTAGGGCTTGTGGAAGGTCCCAATGATAGAGAGTGACATAGGGTTGGATTCCTGGTTCAACCAAGAGTTGAGATTTAGAGAAGGATCATGAGTTTATAATAAAAAAAATATATTTTGTCTTAGGCCTTTTGTGGAAGTCCAAAGCAAAGTCATAAGAGCTTATATTCAAAGTGGACAATATCATACTATTATGGAGAGTTGTGTTCTTCTGACATAGTATCAGAGTCATGCCCTAAACTTAGTCGTGCCAATAGATAGGTAAATCCCCAAATGTCGAACAAATGACTCCAAAAGAAAAGGAGTCGAGCCTGGGGAGGCGTACTTTGTTCGAGGAAAGGTAATGGGAATGATCATGAGTTTATAATCAAAGAATACTCTCTCTATTAGTGCGAGACCATGAGAGCTTATACTTACCTTGAGCTAACAGAGCATTAATGAAATCGTTGTAATGATCGACTCCAGCTTGGTTGACCTCTCCGCTTCCATCTTACGAAACAAAAATACGTCATATATTATATTTTTATTAAGAGGTTGAAAATTGTAATTTTACTATTATAACCTTAAAAAAAAAAGTATTACTTGGGAAAATCCGAGACCAGGCAATCGAGAATCGGTAGGCATCCATACCCATATCCTTCATAAGTTTAATGTCTTCCTGTTTCCATTTTAATATTATTATTAATTTAATTTTTTTTTCTTATTCTCAATAATTGATATTAAAGTTATAAATATTGTTACCGGATACCGGTGGTACTGGTCCACTGCCTCATCTGCATTACTAGAATCAATCACCTTCCCTGCATCATTTCATTATTCACAATATTATAAAAAGAAAACCTTAAATAATTTATTTATTTATTTCAGGCTAAATATCTGTAAACTCCTCCATATTTTAAAATTTAAAATTTCATTTTTAATGTGTTGAATATTTTTTTATAGTTTGATATAAAAATATATCGTATTAATTGAATAAAAAAAATTATATATTTTAATTTAATAAAATGCGTAATAAAATTAGAATCGATAGCTATTTGGATGGACACATTTTCTTAATTTAAATCAAATATTATGATGGTAAATTTTTAAATGAAAATAACTTTTATTAAATACTAAATTAACTCAATTAAAAAAACTAATAAAAGGGTAAATATAATTAGCCTTTATGTTATTTTATTTATTTATTTTTCAAATTTTCTTTAAAATTACAAAATAATAATAATAATAATTACCAAATGAATGGGAAAATGTGTCCCAAATTGTAGGTCCTCTTCCGCCCTCCTTGATAGCTCCTTCATACTGTGAACCATAATTGATAAATACTCCACGTGGTTTGGTATTACACACTATTTATAATTATTCATTTTAAAAAAATTAATTTATAAATATTAACATCCAAATAATTCATAAATTAGGAAAATAAGGATAAAGTTTAATTTATTATTTATTTTATTTTATTTTTTAATTAAAAAACTTTGTGACAATAGTTAGTTAGAACAAAAAAAACGGAACCTGAAAAGCAGAGGAGGCCGTTCCGAAAACAAATCCGCTCGGAAAACCGCTTCTGGAAATCTGCGCCGAACAGATCTGAATCCCTAACACCGCCATCACCACCGCCATGCCGATGCCTACGGCGGCGCCTCTTCCTCCGGCCACCATAGCGCAGAAACAGAAGAGAAAAAAGAGGAGTGGTGTCGGAATTCGAATCGGAAGTGGAGTGAGTTTGAGGAAATCGAATCGGAAGTGACGGTGGTGGAGACGGCGGCGATGGTGACAAAATAGCGTTGAAGGAATCGCCTACTTTATAAAAGTTGGGAACGACATTGGCCTTATGGGAAATCCAACTCAGGAGAAGTCGCCCAGTTCACACTCCTAAATTTTGATCATATATGGCAATTTTTTTAATTTTCTATTTTTTTCTTTCCATTTTTGCACCTCGGCCACCACGTATTATATTTTTAGATAAATTTTCAAATTATTATAATATTATATATATATATATATATATATATATATATGTATGTATGTATGTAGAATATTCCTTTTATTAATATTTTCAAGGTATTTTCTGTAGAAAGGTTTAAGAAGTTCATCTTCATCAATCAATTCCGACGTTTCGGCCTCTCCTTCTCTAGAGACGAACAGACGGTGGGGGCAAGCAGACTAAGATATCCAAGGCAATCAAGGTAAGAATCGATAATTTCTCTGTGGTTTCATCGCGCGGCCTGGTTCTATTGGCTTAGATTCTCTTAATTTTGATTAGGAAACTTTTAATGATTTCTCTCAACGCGAAGAGAGTTTAATTTGTTGCTATTCGTCGAGAGATTGAGTCACATGTTTATAAATTATGAGAAGATTTGAAGCTCCGGAAGCCTGAATTTATTGCCTCTAATCTTCGGCTTTTTGTCTGAAAAATTGAAGGTTCTTTAATCTCAAGCCTTTTCTTCTCGGGGATATCGTTATTCCACCTATTGTTTGTTCTATCAACCGAACTTCATTTTGAGCCACAATGAATTCGTAGAACAGTGACGAATCCGACAATAAAATTTCGCTTATTTTATTCTGTTCTTTGGATCTGAAAGAGTAATCTGAACCTAGTTCTGTTTATCTCTTGCTGCTCTATATTCTGAATCTAGGTAACTTCCCTGTCCTCTGTGTATTTCTTCATTTAATTTTGTTCGGCTGTTCAATGTAACTGATAGTTATTAGGAAATTAACGAGTCCAAATCTTAATTATTGAAAGCGAAGAACGCCCTAGGGTGGTGACCAACTACATAAGATTTAACAAGTTATATTTGCAATCAAATGTAGTAGCGTCAAATGGCTATCTAGTGAGATTAGTCGAGGTGCACGCAAGTCAGCATGAACATTCTTGACTTTATGCATGGAGTTCGACTCATTGTCAGGCTTCTGTCTATTTTTACTTGCATTTGCTGCATCCTACAAAGTTTTCTTATAATTTGTAGTATGAATCATATGTTATTTGTGTAAATTCCTTGATCATTTCTTTCTAATGGTTCTAGCTATGTTATGGAATTATCTTCTTGGATGAGAAACAAGTACTCTTCCTCGGTAGTGTTATTGATATTTGTTGTTTTTTCTTTGATTATTAGCAGTTAGAACTTTTCTGCTTTGAAATCTTTGCCTACAAGCTCAATTTTCTCCATAAAATGGCATTGGTTGTGGTCTGTGGCCAGCCATGCAGTGGGAAGTCCACTGCGGCACTCTGCTTAGCTGAAGCTCTCAAGGAATCAAATGTAAAGCAAGCTGTAAAGATAATCAATGAAACTTCTTTTCATCTCGACCGCAATCAGAGCTATGCCGATATGCCTGCCGAAAAGAATTTAAGGGGAGTTCTCAGATCTGAAGTCGACCGATCTGTATCGGAAGACAACATTGTCATTGTAGACTCTTTGAATAGTATAAAGGGTTATAGGTACGAGCTGTGGTGTTTGGCTCGTGGAGCTGGAATTAGGTACTGTGTTCTGTACTGTGATGTGGAAGAAACACATTGTAGGAAGTGGAACGACGAGCGGCGAGAGAACGGAGAAGCTAACTACGATGATAAGATATTTGAAGATCTGGTGAGAAGGTTTGAGAGACCAATTAGTAGGAATAGATGGGACTCGCCATTGTTCGAGTTGTTGCCACATAAAGATGGAATAGAGAAATCATCTACTGTCATTCTAGATGCTGTATCATACTTGACAAAAGAGGTTGACTCGAAGTCGAGGGATGTAAAGATCTTACAGCCAACGATCGCGACTCGGAGTACTCGATTATCGGAGGCGAATTCTTTGTATGAGTTGGACAAAGCAACACACGAAGTGGTTAATGCTATAGTAGAAGCGCAAGGCCAAGCAATGGGAGGACCTCTGAATGGTGTCCCTCTGGGTCAGGATTTGCCAACCATCAATATTTCAAAGTCGGTCGGCCTTCCCGAGCTTCGGAGGCTACGGAGAACGTTCATTAAACTAACAGGGCAAACTAGTTTAAGTGGACCACCGCCACCTTGTGATGCAGCAAGTGCTAAGAGGATGTTCGTTGACTACCTGAATAGGGAACTGGGGACAGCTTGAACCAGATTAACCTGAATGATACTCGGAGTTCCCAAAATGTTGGTGATCGAGGAGGGTTCAAATCTTTGATCTTTTCATCAAGATTATATGTCTTAACTAGTTGAGTTTTACTTTGAGTTGAGTTCAATAATGTTTGAAATTGAAGAGGAGGGTTCGAATCTCTGACCCTTCGTCAAGATTATGTCTTAACTAGTTGAGTTAAGGAACTTGGGTGTGTGTCTTGTCGAAATGAAATTGCCTTATCTTTTTATTATTTCTTTTTCGTTAATGGGTTAAGGTGGGAGTTTCGTTATTATGCCAACCACCCCAACTTCTTATAGAGTGAAAATCAGTTTAGCCTAAATTCAAAATCCATGAAGAATCCTCTGATTCTGGTACAAATGGTACAAATGGCACAAATGGCATTTATATTTACTAGCATGTTACTATTTGCAGGGGGCATGAATCAGTTTGATTTCAGGTTCAAGGTGACATAGCTGTGAAGAGTAAACTTTCAATTTCTTCGATTAAGCCAAGCATGAGAACCAAAACCATCCTTGCCTTGAATGGATTGCCAGTTTGTCGTGCTAAGCGTTTCCAAATCTGAGACGACACCGTTGCTCGATCTCTCCTCCTATCTCACCTCAAACACCTGATCATTTCAACTCGACACAAACCGATATCTTGCTCGACATCATGAAGCGATTTGTAATCCAATAGGGCAGTTGCTTGATCTCTCCTCCTATCTCACCTCAAGCACCTGATCCTTTCAACTCGACACAGCCGATGTCTTGCTGGACATCATAGCGATTTGTTATCCAATAGAGCATTTCAAATCTGAGACGACACAGTTGCTCGATCTCTCCTCCTATCTCTAGTGGTCATTTTCTCCCCATACCTCTGAAATATATCAGCCAAATCAACCAACCCAACTTCTCTCAACCTATTCCCCACCTCTCTAAACATCACCACTCCCTCCTCATTCGAATAGTAATGCAAAAACTTGTTGTAATCAAACCTTGGCACTTCAAGCCCTCTTTTCATCACTCTCTCCACATACTTTGTGGCCTCCAATGACTTCCCAAACTTCACCAAACCTCCAACAAAAATGGTATCAAAATTCACCAATGGATCCATTCCCTTCCTCCCCCTTCTCCCTAGATGTCCTTGCAACAACATTACATATGTATGCATTATAGGCTCACACCCTCTTTCAATCATTACCCGAAAAACTTGTGTCGCTTCACTTGCCCTTCGCAGCCTCAAAAGCCCCTTAATCATAGCATGATAAACACTCAAATCAGGATTCTCAATTCTTCCCATTATGTTATAAGCTTCCCTCCTCCTCCCTCTAGCTAAAACCCCATAGATTAGTGAAGAATGTGCTGAATTATCAGCTTCAAACCCTCTCTTAAGCATTTCGTCGAACACATTGTAGGCCTGCCTCATCTTGCCTTTGTTGCATAACCATTTAATCACAAGACTATAAGTTGAAGGGATCAAATCATTCATCCTGTTTGACCTCATTGCCTGAAAAAGCTTCAAAGCTTCACCGAATTTGTTGGCCTTGAAAAGAACATTCATCATCTCCTCCACAGCTTCCATTTCAGCCTCGAACCCATCTTCCACCATTAAGTTCCAAATCTTTGAAGCTTCAATCACATCTCCCACATCGCAAAATCCCTTGATCAACAACTTGTAAGTAACCCCATCAGCCTTGATCCATTCCTTCAATTTCAAAACCAGAAACTTGGCCTCATCCACAAGTTTACAGCCACACAATTTCTCAACTACTTTGTTCAAAGTCACTAAGCTATAACCAAATCCATATCCATTCATCAAATGGAAAAGCTCCACACATTTCTTCAATTCCCTTGCCGCCGCCAGCGTTCTCAGAGCAACAACGAAGGTCTTATCCGTCACCAAACGCCGCCGTCCCATTTCCTGAATCAAATCCCACAAGAGATCGATATTTCGAGATTTTCCAACAATATCAATCATCTTGTTGAAAGAGACCGCCGTGTGAGTGAAATTCGGGTCGGTTTCGGTGAATTGGAAGAAGCGATAAACGGGTCGCCATGAGAAAGGGAAGGTGTTGCAGACCTGGAGGAAGAATTCGTGCGAGAGGTTGAAACTACAGGCGCGAAGTTTGGAGTGAAGCCTGAGATCGGAGGAGTTCTGCTGCTGATATAGAACGGTACAGACGCGGCGGAGGTGTGTCGGGTCAATTGCCAGTCGAATGTCGTTGTGGGGGGCGGCCGTAGGTGGCGCCGCCGTGGGGTTGATGGAATCGGAAGTCAAGGAACTAAAACGTTGGTGAAAGACGAAGCTAAATGGGAACTTAGTGATGATAATATGTCGATATCTGACGACTGCCATTTTTTGGGCATGGAAGAACAAAATGGAGATGAGTTTTTGGCAGCTCCAATTTAAACTAGATGAACAAACCAGATTTCGAGGGAAGGAAAAAATACAAAATAAGAATGGAGATGCAGGGTATCGAACCCTGTACCTCTCGCATGCAAAGCGAGCGCTCTACCATTTGAGCTACATCCCCAAATTGTTAGAATAATAATATTTATTATATATTTTATATTTGTTTAGGTCAAATAAATCAATAAAAGAAAAAATGGAGATGCAGGGTATCGAACCCTGTACCTCTCGCATGCAAAGCGAGCGCTCTACCATTTGAGCTACATCCCCAAGTTGTTAGAATAATAATATTTATTATATATTTTATATTTTTTTAGGTCAAATAAATCAATAAAAGAAAAAGTGGAGATGCAGGGTATCGAACCCTGTACCTCTCGCATGCAAAGCGAGCGCTCTACCATTTGAGCTACATCCCCAAGTCGTTAGCATAAAAATCATAAAGCTAATTTCTATATTTGTGTGGGTCATAAATACATCAATATGAACATAATTCTTGTCAAAGAAGATTAAAAGAACTTAAGGGAATATGAACGTGGAGAGTGAAGATAGTTTAGTTAAATCCTCTTTTTTCCTCTTTTACATACAAAAAAAAATATAATTTAACCAATAATTCATGATATACTTAAATAAAATATATTATTTTACGATTATTATATTTCTTAAATGAAATAAATGGATAATGTTCTTAAACAATTAAATTCATGAATATTTTTTATTCTCGATAAGAAAGTTTGAATCTTCTAGTTTTGTGGAAATCTGAAGTTGTCATTTTTTGTAGAATGAACTAAAAAAAAAAGCATCTATGAAATTTTGTGAAACTATAGGAACTATTTATGAAATCTTATCGGATCAATTCGTTCTTTTATCTAATTTTATTCAAAAGGAGGCTCAAATCACACTGCTTAGTAAGGTCCTCAAAATTGGTGAAGAAGAATTCTTTGCTAAACAAGAGATCACAATCAAGCATCTTCACTCTTCCCTGGTCAAGCAGAAGTTCGTGTATTAGCCTAACAACATTGAAGAACCAAGGGTTATTATTGATTCACTTGAAATGCTATAACGTTTTTATCCGAAACTTCACCGAGCAAAAGAACACGAAGAATCCTAACGTTCTCATAAAGAAATGAATTTGATACAAATAATATCCGAATACCAAAGTTTCCCTCCACGTGCCCTCTGCAAAGTAAACAGTTTGATCTCGGAAGGACGAAAGAAAGAACCTGTTCGTGCTCCGTGGAGAATTCTTTTGACATGTACCATGAGAGAGTTTTTCCAATATTGAGAAAGAAAGAGAGGAAGACCCGTATACCTGATCATTAGAGGCTGAATCTTGGATCTATATTTCTAAGGTTTCATCTCCGGATGCTTTTCTTGATGCATCTTCTGAAACCTGATGCAGGAAGTTTCCAAGCAACCTCTGATCCAAAACCATGTTGGGAACCTAGCAGAACCAAAGCTACCGAGTTAGTGATAGACACGTAACGCGTATATATTGAGAGCAAAAAGAGACCGAGCGCGTGCCTTGTCCCCAAAGAAAATCTTTGTATTATCAGCAATGGCCTCGATGAATTTAAGCTCAAGAAACTGGGGTGTAAGCTTCAACTTGTTCGCTTCAGCTTCTCTTAGAACACTGATAAAAGGATGAAAAGACATGAATATCACTCACTACACATTCGGTTTCTAAAACTGCATTCATTTCTCACTTCGACAAATCGAGGTGAGGTTGGAAAAGCAAAAGGAGAGAAGTACCGGTAATAATTGGCGTCGGCGAGGCTTTTTTCACGAGCAAGATAGATGTGGTTATCAATTTCTTGCTGTCTCCTGGAACTCTCCTTTTCCATTAGTTTCTGGTCCATGAGGATCCTGCTAACGTTAGCATTCTTCTCAGCTTCACTGATCGCCATTTTTTTGTTGGTTTCTGCCTCTTTCTCCACTACCCTTTGTCTCTCTATAGCAATTAAAACCTATCCAAGTATGTCCAAGATTTCATAGCATTAGAATTAAGACGAGCAGTAATCTGTATCGATGTCAATCCATATAGACGTTTTTGGAATTGAAAGTGTAAACATGGTTTTGAACCAAGATATGCAAGATTATGAGTATGCAATGATGCTCTTTCATACGTTCAACATATGCTTTCAAAACTCAAACAGAACAAGAAAAAGGTTGTTTTCCCATGTTAGAGATGCACCTTTGTACGCTCCACTTCCATGTCTTCAAAGTTCTTTCTGATAGAATGTGGGATGGTGGGCTTTGTTACACGAACACTGATTATTTCAATACCTGGAGCATAACGTGTACAGTCACCTTGGAGGGCATCTTTCATCTTTTCATCAATCTGAATACGAAAAACAGTCACAGATCATTGATGCGAAAGTAATGCTCGATGCCAATGGAGAAAAGTATCTACGACGAATTTATGAAAACATCTGCTTTTAAAGCCTTGAAAGGATTCCTTGAAAGAATTCACAGCTGAAGAACAGAAAAATATACTTGACACAAATGACTCAACAAGTAAGGCAGTAAGTTAATAGCTAGAATATACACTTAGCATGTTGCTCGTATCAGCTCTGCAGGATGCTTGTGTGAATAGAAACAATCACAAAACTACGCAAGGTTTTAAAAGAACACATTTTATGTTCATTTTTTTACGTACCTGATCGAAAACATCAATATAAACTTGCTGAAGACTGTGAGAACTACAAAACTGATTGATTTCATGATGAATCTTGTCATATATCCATATGTTATCATAATTCACACCATAGTGGACCAGGGTTTCATGCACATATTCTTTGCGGAGGCGATTGACAACCTGAAAGCAGCATCCTTATGAACTAAGATGAAGAATAAGAAAATCTAACATCAATTATTGGGAAGGAATTTCCTAGTAATTTCACCTCGATTTTCTCGAAGTTGATCATTACGCCCCCCTTAGTACCACATGGAATATCCCTAACCTGCATCAAGGACATCAATTAGGACCTCTTCAAATATTGAAATCCTAAAATTGGCATTAAGAATTTTGTGTCCCCAATGAAAAATATTGTAATGCTTATATCATCATAGTAATTGTAAATAAATCTAATTTACTTGATCAGTCTGGAGGGTAACTTGAACAGGCACAAACTGGGTTAACAGAGGCAACTTTAGATGGAAACCTGAAATTTTCACATGAATAAAGGCAGTAGGACATATGATCTGTATAACCATGAAAAATCGGGCGGAACGGAGAGACTTAAACCTGGATCCGTTATTGTCTTCAGAAGGGCACCTCCTCTCCAATATACTCCAACATGACCTTCTGGTACTTGGTGTAAAATAGATAAGTTACTTTTGAAGTTTGATTGAGATGGAATCAGCACCTGCATGCATAAAAATGCAGTTCTACAACCACTAAAATCAACCAGATCAAGCACAATGATCTCAAAATTGATACCATTTCTTGACCAAGTTGTGCCTGTAACAAGACTTGCATAGCTAAAACACCCAATAAGTAAAGAGGTTCAATTTTTCACTTGGCTGATTGCCAAACCAACACCAATAGTGATCCAAATTCTCATTTACTTACTAAGCATAGTAAACATGCCATGTCTGAAACGTGAAATTTGTCATGTTTTTGTAACAGTCCAAGCTTACTGCTAGCAAATATTGTCCGCTTTGGCCCGTAAAAGCCCGTAACGCATCGCTGTCAGCCTCACAATTTTAAAACGTGTCTATTAGAGAGAGGTTTCCACACTGTTATAAGTAATGATACATTCTCCTCTCCAACTGATGTGGGATCTGATACACCGCTCGATATCTGGCTCTGATACCATTTGTAACAGCCCAAGCCTCAAGGTTTTAAAACACGTCTATTAGGGAGAGGTTTCCATACCCTTATAAGGAATGTTTCGTTCTCCTCTCCAACCGACGTGAGATCTTACATGTTTACACAAACTATTCACTGTCTGCTTAAATTTGCTGAACCTTTTTTCTTATCCTACAATTTGGTCAAATTTTCTCAACTATTTCAGGCCCCTACTTTTGATAGCCACGACTGTTTCAATCATACTGCTAGAATATCAGAATCACAAGATCACTACGTGACAGAAGATAAATCATATGTTCTTCCTTTTCTTTAAAACAAAATTGATAATATACGATTGATGGCAACAATTACAGAAACTTGTGCAATAGACTCCACATCTATCTTAATCGATGGATAACCTCTTCGTAACTTCCACATATGACACTGAATATGAGTTAAAAACAAGTAAACAGCCAATTACACAATCAAACAGTAGTAGTTATGAAAGTATTACAAATCCAACAAGCAGGTTCTTAAGTACATGAAGCCGACCAACGAAGTGCGATATAAGCGAAGTATAACTCAAACTTATTAGCTTTCTAACTCCATTTCGCAACGATGACAACACAGAAAACAACAACAACAACAAACGCATTCAGCTTGGACAAAAGCCTTTGACCTCAGATAAACAAAAGGTATATCAATACTCGCTCATCGAAAACTAAGCCGTAACAAAATGGAATTCAAAAAACAAAACCACGAAACCTAGCGCGTTTTGCAGCTCAATGAGGAAGCGAAATGATACCATGGAAAAGATGGCGATGAAGGAGGCGAAAACAGTGAGTACGGAGGAGAAACTGCCGCCGGATTCTGAAGAACGAGGCTGCGGAGATGGTGGTCGCAGTGGCTGATTACGATCCATGGCGCGCTCTCACTCTCGAAAAAAATGAATCAAATCAAAATCTGTGATATGAATTTCTAACCTACCAAGCTTTCATATTGTATGATGAAATCAAATTAAATAATGAAATTTTTTTTTTGGCTCAATTTGCAGTCAACAGCGAATTTGTAGTCTTTTTTTAAGGCTCAAGTCTGTTTGATGTTCATCCTTCCATCTCCGTCTCGGTATATTTTCCATTTTTCTTTTCGAGAATTACTAATATTGTATTTTAAACATCTTTAATTTCTTTTATGATTTTTTTTTTTTAATTTTAACCTCAAATTTCACTATTCCCAAAATATCCTTGAAGATTTTTTCATTAAAAATTAACACGATAATTAATGTATGGAAATTAAAAAATAAACATAAAATTATTTACGATATTATACATTTAAATTGAAATTCATTAAAATTCATTTCATAAATAATTTCGAGTTTAAATGAAAATAATTATATTTTATTTTTTATTATCAGTCTTCGCATTAATTTCCACCTTTTATTTTAACAAAAATAAATTATGTATTTCTCAAAATATTTTAACTAATATCCTTAAATTATTAAAAAAATATCACTAATATAATTTTCTTTTTAAATATTGCTAATATCTTTTATTAACTCTAAAAGTATAAATATTTTAATCATTAAATAATGACTCATTAATACGATTTATTTATTTATTTTATTAGTAATAATGTTAAGGATATTTAGTAATAAATTATAGTTTACCATATATATTATATTTGATATTTTATTATAAGGCAAATATCTAACATTTGCCTTATTACTATAGGTATCTTTCCATTTATTGTTATTTCCATTTATTACTATTTCCATATCCTTGTAATTTATTTGATTATAAATAAGATAACTTTCACACCATTTAGGTGTGGTGGATTCAGCAAACATTCACATGGTATCAGAGCCATTTTGGTTTAGCAACCTAGATCTTTTCTTTTCAATGGCTTTTGAAATCTTCTACTGTTCTTCTCCACCACCACTGTTGTCTTTGATGTCGCAGGGGCAGTCGTCATGGCTGTCACATGCAGAGTCGATTGATTATTCTTCGGCTCCACCTTTTTGACCTCCAAATCATCCTTCGCCATACTCTGTACATACAACCTCACCTTTTCCAAACATAGCCTCTTTCATTTTCTTCCCAATTTTTCCTTCATCCTTCATCCTTCATCCTTCATCCTTCACAAAAACCCTAATCTTAGGATCTTCATCAGCATCCCTCTTCGAAAATATACAGAATCTCAATAACCCCATCGACCTTCTGCAGAGATTTACCTTTGGAATCTGGGCGCCGCACTGGCATCTTCGCCAACCAAGTTGCCGCCGCCCTTCTCGCCAAAATTGGCCCCTTCGCCCCAATGTGGCGACTCTTCCAGCTGCCCTTCTCGCCAAAATTGGCTCATTCGCCCAATGTGGCGACTCTTCCGGCTTCAACATTGTCTTTGTCCCTTGCTTTAGGTTTCCCCTTCTACTTCTTGGGGTTAGACATATTCTCACCAGAGCCAAGTCAGCATCGTCGCTAAGCGACAATCCCTCTTCATGGGTTAGACATATTCTCACCGAAGCCAAGGTAGCATTTGCCGCTGAGCGGCGATCTCTCTGCAGTTTTCGATGGCCAAGAAAGTGTTTCTCTACGCCTCCTCTGAACCAGGTTGTTAACATCTTCACGAAAAGTGTTTTTCAACCTCTTTGAATTTTTCAGATTCAAGCTTCACGTTCGTTTAAATCCGACGCTTAGCTTGCGGTGGGGTGTTAAGGATATTTAGTAATAAATTATAGTTTACCATATATATTATATTTGATATTTTATTATAAGGCAAATATCTAACATTTGCCTTATTACTATAGGTATCTTTCCATTTATTGTTATTTCTATTTATTACTATTTCCATATCCTTGTAATTTATTTGATTATAAATAAGATAACTTTCACACCATTTAGGTGTGGTGGATTCAGCAAACATTCACAAATAATCTATTGAAATCTATGGGAAACACAGATTCAGTTATTCATGTTTTAAACATAAATTTAAACAAGTTTAATAGAGACGATACATTTTAATTTTGATTAAGAAATTAAAATGTTGAAAGTGAGTACTAAAACTGAGGCAAACAGCCAAATGGTGCGTTACCGGCATGAACTGATTAGTCGATGGTTCAGTCAATTCAAATTTTCGTCCTTATTTGAGATTCCACATCGGTTGGAGTATAACAAAACATTTCTTAAAATGTGTGAAAATTTCTCCTCTAACATACGCGTTTTAGAATCGTGAGATTGATGACAATACATAACGGGCCAAAACAGACAATATCTACTAGCGGTGGGCTTGAGCTATTACAAATGGAATCAGAGCTAGGCACCATGTAGTGGGCCAGAAAGAACACTAGGCACCCAATGGAGGTAGATTGTGAGATCCCACACGGTAGGATGTGAAAACCTCTCCCTGGCTAGCAAACGCGTTTTAAAACCATGAAGTTGACGACTATACGAAATGAGCAAAAGCAGACAATATCGGCTAATAATGGGCTTGAGCTATTACAAATAGAATTAGAACTAGACACCGGACAGTGTGGAGATCTCGCATCAGTTAAAGAAGGAAACAGTGTAAAAACCTCTCCGTAGCTGTAATGGCCCAGATCCACCGCTAGGTGTTATTGTTCTCTTTGGGCTTCCCCTCAAGGCTTTAAAACGCATCTGCTAGGAAAGGTTTCCACACCTTTATAAATGGTGGTTTGTTCTCCTCCTCAACTAGGGTGGGATGTCACAATCCACCCCCCTTCGGGGCCAGCGTTCTCGCTGGCACTCTTTTCTTCCTCCCATGTGGGACCGCCCCCAAGTTCACCCCCCTTTGGGACCCAGCGTCCTTATTTGGCACACCGCCTCATGTCTACCCGCTTCGAGGAACAGCAAGAAGGCTAACACATCATCCAGTGTCTAGCTCTAATACCATTTGTAAAGACCCAGATCCACCGCTAGCAGATAATGTCCTATTTGGGCTTTCCCTTTCAGGCTTACCCTCAAGGCTTTAAAACGCGTTTGCTAGGAGAAGGTTTCCACATCCTTATAAATGGAGGTTTATTCTCCTCACCAACCAATGTGGGACATCACACTAGCAGACCCATTTTTAAACCATGAGACAAACACCCATACATAACAAACCAATGCAGACAATATCTGGTAGCAATGAATCGACTTAAAAGCTCAACTAACCAACACGAACATAGCTCAGCAATAATAAACCTGCATCTATTCCTGAAAGCTCAAAGGTTCCCGACACGCGTCATAACATCCACAAGCCAAAATAAAATATTAAAAAGAAACTAATAATCAAAAAGATATTTACTCATCATATTCAAGCAAATAGTTGGCAGGTAGTTCATCAGTCTATTCACACCTATATATATATATATATATATATATATATATATATATATATATATATATATATATATATATATATATAT